TCCTCCTCCTCCTCCTCCTCCTCCTCTTCCTGGTCCTCCTCCTCTTCCTCCGCTTTCCGCGCTTGGCTCCCTTGCTCTGCCTCTATCTCTATATTACCCCTCCATCGTTCCCCGGCCCTCCCAGTCCCTTCATCCCCCCCTCCCCCTGAGAAGCAGCTCCTGGGAGGTCTTCGCAAGACCGATTAGACGGCTGTAGAGCCCGATTGAGGGGCCATGAAGCCGACTGAGGCCAACTTGGGCTCAATATGAAACCAACTTCAGCGGAACTGCTGCTACATGAGCCAGGCTTCGCCGAACCGTGCTGCGTACATGCCAGCGCCGATTCTCAAGGGCTACATCCTGAACCCCCTTACTCTTCCCCTCCATCTCCCCCGTGCCTTCTCCCTCTCATCCTCGCTCCTCACTGCCGCACCCCTCCTCGGCAGCGCCGTGCCCCTTGTGGCGGGATCGCCGCGGCAGGAGGCGAAAGGCGGAGGCCGACGATGCAGGGGCCGCGGGAGACTTAAATGAATAGCCACGAATCCCAGGACTCCGTATGCTTCCCAAGCATCCTGTGGTGTTGGGTCGTCGTTTTCAAGATACAGTCCCCGTATCTCCTCCTCTCTCCTCCTCCTCCTCCTCCTCCTCCTCCTCCTCCTCCTCCTCCTCCTCCTCCTCCTCCTCCTCCTCTCCTCATCATCATCATCATCATCATCATCATCATCATCATCATCATCATCATCATCTCTCCTCATCTCTCCTCTCTCTCCTCCTCCTCCTCCTCCTCCTCCTCCTCCACCTGACATTGTCACGTAGTCATGCTCATGCTCATGCTGATGATCCTCCTCCTCCTCCTCCTCCTCCTCCTCCTCCTCCTCCTCTTTCTCCTCTTTCTCCTCCTCCTCCTCGTCCTCCTCCTCCTCTTCCTCCTCCTCCTCCTCCTCCTCCTCTCCTCCTCCTCCTCCTCCTCCTCCTCCTCTCTCCTCCTCCTCTCTCCTCCTCCTCCTCCTCCCTCCTCCTCCTCCTCCTCCTCCTCCTCCACCACCACCACCTCCTCCACAAGGGTTGCATGGCGGCGCCGCACCGATTTCGGTACACCTCTCGCGAGGACCGTGACCCCATAGGGAGCTACACAGAAGGCTCCAGTGGCAGTTTGCATGGCGGCTCCATTTCGGTACATCCCTCAGGAGGATCTTTGCCCCATAAGGAGCTCTCAAGAAGGCTCCAGTGGCAGGGGTTGCATGGCGGCGCCCTGTAAATCTCGAAGGTGGTGGCTGCAATGCCCCTGCGCAGGAGGATCCACTCCCCCCCGTGCATCCCCTTGTCCGACGTGTGAATCGGTGTAGCGGGTGTGGCTGCGAGCTTCCAGCCGACCATGTAGGAGGAGGAGGAGGAGGAGGAGGAGGAGGAGGAGGAGGAGGAGGAGGAGGAGGAGGAGGAGAAAGAGGAGGGCGGGAAACAAAAACGATCGGCCCCGAGAGGAAAACTATCGGGCTTAGATACGTGCCGAAAGGCAAACATTACATTCCGAGTTGGCGGCCCCATAGGAAGGTCTGTTGAAAGATAGGCCCACAACATGGCACCCGCAACTGTATATGGTTGGGTCCTTCGCCTGGATACTTGTCCAAATTTTCTGGATGGTCCTCTTTCCCTCCACTTCCCATTATCATGGAACTCGTCGTTTATCTGTGTCTGCGTGTCTCTCTTTCTCCTGAGATGAGGCGGAGCAGCCGGAGCACGCGGAGGGAGCAACATAAACAAAAACGGCGGATCGAGAGACGAGTCATAAGCATGGCGCGCGCACTCTGCCAGCTCCGTGTCCTCGGGGAGTGGGGGATGAAGGAAGAATCAGTATATGAGCGGCATTGAGCGATCGATGGAGCAGGGGAGGCAGGAAGCGGACAAACGAGGCATGGTGGGTTCCGTAAACTCTGGATCCCAAATAAATGCCATCTCTTGGGAAGCAAATGCTTACTTCCGCCGGCTGCCGCCAGCGGGGTCGCCTTCGTTTTACTTCGCCGCCTTCCGCTTGCCGTCCGCCGAAGAAGAGGTGCCAACTCTCTCGGCGGAGGGCTGGGGAGCGATGGTGATCGCCCGGGCGAAGCGGTGGCGACCGTCTGGGGGGAGAAGGAGAAGGAGGTTGAGGGGGAGGAGGAGGAGGAGGAGGCGGGGGAGAAGGAGGCGGAAGAGGTGAGGTGAGGTGAGCAAGCGGCCTAAAGCCAGTGCGGTCGAGCTATCGCTCGGCGTCGGAGGCCTCCGTATCTTGGGAGACCTCCTCGAAAACCCCGTCCAGGGGCTCTTCGGGCCCCTCCTCGGCCTCCTTGCACAGACGGCGGAGCCCCTCAGCGCGGATGGCTGGCAGGTCCCCCTCCAGGAGGCCGAAGGCCCTCAGCACCTCGGAGGAGGAGGAGGAAGAGGAGGAGGAGGAGGAGGAGGAGGAGGAGGAGGAGGAGGAGGAGGGGGAGGGGGAGGAGAAGGATTCTGCCTCAGCGCGAAACCCGCACGTCACCTCAGAGGGGAGCAAGACCCCCGAGGCAAGAAACAAACACACAAACCGACCTCTAACAGGCAGGCTCGAAGTTTATGTATCTAAAAAATCAGAGCCAACTTGGCACTTCGGGGGGAACGCAAGATGCAGCTGCCGCTACTCCCGGACCTCTCCGAGGGTCAGTTCTTACCAGAACGCCCGTGGAGAATCCAGCCGTGGCAACGAGGGATCTCCAGGACGACAGCTGTATTGGCATCTTCTCCTCCTCAAGAGTTTGGGCAACTTTATCGCTGTCGCGAAGGTCTCCGTTCCACCCTGCTCACGCTCCGTGCCAGTGTGGGCGGAAGGGGGGGTGGATGCCGAGAAGCCACGCTGGCCCGCGAGAAGCCACAAGCCGTGCATCGGCTTGTCAGTGGGGTTTCCTTGGGCTCCGATGCCGCGGTGCGGAGAGCAGCTGCTTCCACTCCCCCTTTGGCACGTGCAGAGTGGACGGGGACCTCTCTGTTTTTTCCTTCTGAGGTGATCTCCTCTTGGGCGCCTCTTGTGGCGCAGCCTTCTTTCCCAGCAGAGAGGGCGAATATGTAGTCCCCAGCGGGCGCTCCACTGGGTGATCCTGGGCATCGCTACCAATTTCGCGATTTCCTCTTGAGCATCCTCGCCGCCGAGGATGCCCGTGCTCGTGGTGGCCTTCGTGGCGGTGTCCATGACCATCAGCTCGTCCACTCCTACGTCATGGAGCTGCGCCCAACCCCCCCTTCCACCAATGATGCAGTGACTGCGCTGTATTCTGCGACACTGGGACCGTAGCAAACACCCTCTCCACCGAGGATGACTGCGTCACTCTGATGGTCCTGATCTCCTCTGGGTCAGCGTCCTCGACCGTCGTAGCGGCTGCTGCGTAGAACGTGCCGACTGGGGTGTCAGACCCTTCGCGGAACACTCCGCCCGCAGAAAAAGACGCTGCCGTGTGAATTGCTTGATGGTCTTCCGGTAAACTCTTGAACGATTCCTGTCTGGCCTCCAGACGGCGTCGCACGTACCGTGATATCAACCTCGAATGTTGAGATACAGACTCTGGCTAATGAATTGCAGCGGTCGCTCACCGCATGCCAGCAGATCTTTCTTTGCCCCATCTTCCCTGCCACATCGGCAGAGATCTTCAAGCCACAGTCGCGGACGCCATGGCCAGCCTTTGAGCGGAGGGAAGGGGAAGGGGGGAAGGGATGAGAAGGCGAGGGAATGGGTGATGGATGCTGAGGGCTTTGAGGATCGAGATTCGGGGAGCACGGGATTCCAGGATCGATGGTCTAGGATTCGAGACGATTTTGGTTCTGTCCCAGGTTCGAGGATCGAGGGCTTTCAGGATCGAGAATCAGGGGGGTGGGACCTGTGGGGCTCTTTTCCTGGCTTGAGGGTTCGAGGATGGTGGGTCAGAATCAGGTAATTCGATGGCAAGGCGAGGGCCTCAGCGTGGCCGGATTTCAAATCTGCGCAACTTGAGGTCCACAATCTGCCAAGAACGAACTCAATCCAACGGCATGTCTTTACCCTGTCCAATTGCCCAAGCGCCGATCCGAGAAATCCGCGCGGACCTCCGAGTTTTTATGTTTATGCCACGTTTTGTTCCCCTATCATCGGCGACGTCGGCGATGCAATGCATCGGCGCCATCGGCGTGGAGAAGATCGGGCTCCGCATCGAGCCGCACGGCCGACGCATCGGCGGTGCTGCGCGGTCCTCCGACCCCATGCAGTACGGCAGACCACGATCAGCCGCACCCAAGTCCCCATGACTTGCTGAGCCTCGGAGGAGCTCTTGCTGCTAGACCGGAAGAACGAAAAACGAGTGGCCGGAGCTGGACCGCCCCGAACTGGAGCCTCTGGCGCCGCCCTCGCGCGCTGCACGCGCCAGGGCGCGCGCGGGGTAGGGGAATCCAACGCCAGGCCAACAACTGGGGGCCTGGAGCATTTGGGTTTGCCTCCAACGGGGGAGGATCATCCTGTTTTTTGGTGCTGGTGGTCATCCCTCGGCCAACTAAGAAATCCGAATATTGCCACCTTCGCCGCGATCCGGATCATCAATTCCTCGGTGGAGGCAACCGCTGGGACTGGTGCTGGTGCCAACCTTTCAGGCTTCCGAAACAAATCCGAGCGGACCTCGGACCACTATGGTTTATATAATTTGGTGTTCGTCGGCGGCTCGAAATGTACACCTAGTCGCCTGGTCGGCCAAGGGGCTCGGTGTATAGGTGCCCCAGTGTCAAGACCCGTGGGATGCTGGAGCGTCAATTCACAGATGTCCTTCAACGAATTCATTGGCCTCTTGGCCTTCCACGACGTGGCCTATACACCGACTGCCTTCGCCGAAATCATTTGCTTCTTGGCCCCCCTCGTCCTCCTCCTCCTCCTCCTCCTCCTCCTCCTCCTCCTCCTCCTCCCCTCCTCCTCCCCCTCCTCCTCCCCCTCCTCCTCCCCCTCCCCCTCCTCCTCCTCCTCCTCCTCCTCCTCCTCCTCCTCCTCCTCCTCCTCCTCTTGCCGGGGTCCTTCGCGGGGGTCGGCGCCCCGAAGAAGGTGACGCTCCGCAGGCTCTGCAGCCTGGCGGCCAGGCCATCCCCCGCCTATACCCGGTCCAGGGCCGCGGCCCGCTCCTCCCCGGGGCCTCTGGAGGTGATCCTCTTTGGTTCTTCGGGGAGCCCTTCGCCTGCATCCTCCATCGCCCTCCTCTTCCCTCTTGCTCTCCTGCTCCTTCCCTCCCCGTTTACAACCATGTATGCAGCGTGAGTCCCCAACAGTGTGCGCCATAGCAAATTATATGAAATCTATGTGGACCCACACATGTGGCCAATGTGTTGCAAAATGCGCGGCGCAATCACTAGATGTGGCGGGTGCAACCTATGTGGTGCGATCCGTGTTGTGTCATCTATGTTGCGCAACATATGACGTGCGATTGTGATGAAATATATTCTATGTTGGGAAATCTGGGTTGGCCAACGAGATGTGGTGCTGTCGGCGTTGCGCAGTCGATGTGGTGCAAATTATGTGGTGCGATCTAAGTGCGACCTCCGTTGTGAAATTGATGAGGTGCAATATGTGTGTTGCGATCTATGTTGTGCAATCTATGTGGCGCAATCCAAATTGTGAAGTGTATGCGGCGCAATCGACATGGTACAATTAATTCTCGTTCGCAAAGAACTGCCAACTCCACTACCCGCTCAATCGTCCTACTCACCCGCCCGCAACAAAACTTGCAAAACCCCTTGCGGCGGGGATTGCGATGACACGTTGGCGCCGGCTGACGCATCGCTGCGGCCGCGCTGGCGCGCGCGGGCTCGCGCGCACAGCGGCCAACTAGTTTGGCGGCGCAACCGCCGCGGCCCCAATGGCGCTGACCGCTGGGGACTTCTTACCGCGTTTCGCAAGCCACGTGGACGCGCGGGCACTGGCGACGTCGACAAAGGCAGACACGATGATGATACTAGCGGTGCTGGTAGCGATGATGGCGATGACGGCGGCAAGGCCGATGACGGCGCCGATGCTGATCGTGCCGATGACGATGATAATGTCCACGTGTCAATGATGTAAACTTCGGGGGTATTTCGACATGCTCGTGCGGCCGACGGGCGCGAGTGGCCCGCATGATATTACTTGACAGGGATAGTGCCCCCCAGCGAGCGCGCAACGGCGTTATAATGATTTTCGCGTGCGCGCACGCGCGGAAAGCCCGCTTGGTCGCCGTTGAAGTCTGCCCAGAACAACGTATGAACTTCATAAGAATTGGCACGCGCGCGCTCGAATCTGAGCTCTTCACGGAGCGTACGGTGCTTGACGGATTCGGCAACCGTGATGCCGCGCGCGCGTGGACATCGTTAACTTTTCTGCACGCAATTACTGGCAACGTATGACATTTGATAGACGAATGTGCGCGCATACTCTTAGTTGTCAGGGGTGATTGGGGGGTCGGTAAAAACCACCCCATGGGATGGGATGAATTTACACCTAAAATGAACTTTGGGGCACAAACATGGGTAACTTGCGCTATCCCATGGTGAGGATGACGCCGGGAGGGGGTATTGGAATTTCTTTCCAGCAGCCAGATCCTACGAGGCTCAATTCGTTTTCGTTCGGAATGAATTGTCAAGTCCACTGCTCGCGCAATCACCCTGCCCGCCCACCCGACCTTCGGCTGCGGCAAAAAAGCTGCGGCGGCGACTGCGATGGCTGCTTGGCGCTTGCTGGCGCATGATCGCGGCCACGCCAGCGCGCGCAAGCTCCCGCGCACGACGGCCACCTAGTCTGGCGCGACCGACGCGACCGCGGTGGCGCCGACCGCTGGGAACTGCCCGCCGCGTCTGGCGGGCCACGTCGACGCGCGGGCTGGCGCGCGGGCACGCCACTGCGAGTCGGTGGCTCGGGCGGGCGCGGTAGCACGGCGAGGTCGACACAGGCAGACGCGATGATGACAGTAACAGAACTGTTGACGGTGACGGCGATAATGACGGCGAGGCCAAGGACCGTGCCGATGTTGATCACGCCGATGACGGCGATGGTGTACACGAGCCGGTCATGAAAATTCCGGAAGGATGTCGACATGCGCGCGCGAGAGGCCCGTCTGGTTGTATGTGATGAGATATTCAAATGGTCGTATGGTTTCCGTACAAATTATAAAAAACTCGCGCGCGGACGTCGTTTGAGAAATATTGTTGCACACCGGTAGTGTTTTACATGTTATTGGGGGCCTAGCCGATCTTGCAATCCTTACGAAACCTTATGGCTCTTGAAAGATTCCGGCGTCGTGTGTGTGTGTGTTTTTGTATGGGTTCCCAAACACGTATGGCGTTTGGTGAACGAATGCGCGCGCATAGTACGACTTGTCAGGGATGAGGGAGCGGGGGGATACTGGCCAGCCTGGGGTGGTACGAGCTCAAAATTTAAAATGGACGATGGGGCATAATCACACGGGAATGATGTCTTCACAAGGAGAGCCGCGAAACTTTGGGGTGGGATCATGATTTCTTCGAAAAAAGAATGTATGCGAGGCGGTGACATCGAAGGCGGAACCGCCACACGGGTCCGCAAGCCCACACGACGGGCGGCGATGAGGCGCGACGGGGCGTTGACAACGCGGCGACGGCGAGCGAGGGCCCGCCAAACCGGCCCGCAAGCCCAGACGACGGACGGCAACGACGCGGCGACGAAGCGGCGACGGGGCGGCGACAGCAAGCACGGAACCAGCATGTCAGCCCACAGGCCCGGTTCCTCATTAAAGCAGATCCCTAACCCCAATGTGAATACACTGTTTGGGGTGTGTATATACACATATATATATATACACCTACATACATACATACATACATACATACATACATACATACACATACATACATACATACATACATACATACATCGGGGTGAGGGGCCGAACAGTCATTCACTGTCCCTGGGCGCGTCGCTGAAGTGAGGTTTTACGGTGCGGATGTTTGTTGTTGTTATTATTATTGTGTTTGTTATTCGTGTTGTTGTTGTCGGGATCAATCTGGGTTGGTGGCCCCGGATTGCAAAAACAACGGCTCCCGCTTGAGACTTCTTCACAATTTAACCTGGACCCCCGCTCCGGCCTGTGACTTCCTTACGCTTTATTGAAGGATCGCTCTCTCGGCGCTCTGGAGTCGCGCTCTCGCTGGAGACGTGCTTGCGATCTACTCAAGAATCGCGCTCTCGCGTTGGAGTTCCCCGCGGTTTACTCTAGCGCCGCGCTCCCGACACTCAGGCACCCAGGAGTCGCGCTCACACATCGGAGTCCCTCATAGCCTACTTAGGAATCGGATCTCGCTGCCCCTCGTGGCCCCGTTGCAGCCCTTCGTGGCCCTCCCCCTGCCCTTCGTGGCACACTCGCTGCCCCTCGTGGCCCCATCGCTGCCCTTTGCGGCCTCATTGCAGCCCTTCGTGGCCCCCATCGACGCCCTTGCCCTTCGTGGCCCCCTCGCTGCCTTTTGTCCCATTGCAACCCTTCGTGGCCCCCTCGCTGCCCTTCGTGGCCCCGTTGCAGCCCTTCGCGGCCCCCTCGCTGCCCTTTGTGGACCCGTTGCAGCTCTTCGTGGCCCCCTCGCTGCCATTCGCGGCCCCGTTGCAGCCCTTCGATCGCTCGCTGCCCTTCGCGGTCCCGTTGCACCCCTTCGTGGTCCCGTTGCGAAATTCGTGGCCCCCTCGTTGCCCTTCGTGACCCCCTTGCTGCCTTGCGTGGCCCCATATATGCGTGCCCTTCGTGGCCTCCGGTTGTTCGCGCCCGTCGTGGAACCATATGCATGCGTTTTGCAGCCCCGTTGTCGCCATTCGCGGCCCCTTCGCTGCCCTTCGTGGCCCCGTTGTTGCCCTCAGTGGCCCCGCCCTTGCCATCTGCGGCCCAACGTGCGCATGCCCTTCGTGGCCTCCGCTCGTTCGCGCCCGTCGGTGCCCCATATGCATGCCCTTCGCGGCCCCGCTGTCGCCCTCTGTGGCCCCCTCGCTGCCCTGCGTGGCCCCGTTGTCACCCTCCGCGGCCCCGTCGTTGCCCTCCGTGGCCCCGCGGTATCTGCCCTTCGTGGCCCCCGCTCGTTCGCGCCATTCGTGGCTCCCTTCCTGCCCTTCGTGGCCCCGTTGTCGCTCTCGTTCTCGCTCTCGCTCTCGCTTTCGCTCGTCGTCGTCGTCCTCCTCGCCGTCGTCGCCGTCTTTTTCGTCGTCGTCGTCGTCGTCGTCGTCGTCGTCGTCGTCGTGGTCGGTCCCATGTCCGTTCCTCTTGGGGTCGGGTTGCCGCCGATCAGCGCTGCCGCTGGCCAGGCCGACGGTCCGCGGCCGCCCCGCCGCTTGCCGGGGCCCGGCTTGCAAGGAAGAAAGATATACTCCCCCAAAGGGGTACGATCGAAACCGAAGAGGGCGGGTATCGAGGGTTTTGGAAATATGCGTTAACGGACACTCGAGCAGATAAGAGCCAACAATCTTAAAATGATGTTGCTGTTTGTTGCTGTTGTTGTTGCTGCTGCTGCTGTTGTTTGTTGTGTGTTGCTTGTTGTCGTCGTCCCTCCCGCGACCTGCCCCGCGACCCACCCTCGAACAACAAAAGACCCGCGAACTCCCCGCGACCCCCCCCCGCGACTCACCCGCGATCTGGCCCGCGACCCACCCACATTGCTTTAGCTAAAAAATCGGCGCCTGCGGCGAGCTCGTTCTATGATTTGTACAAATTCGGCACCTGCGTCGGGCTTCTTCAGGGCCTCGCGGACTGCCGACGTCCCCCTAATCTTCTCCGCAACTGCGGGGTGGGACGTACCGATTCTCTGACAGTCGCCGTACTAATCGAGTGTTGCGAGCGCGCCTGTCTGGTGGATCTCTTGGGCCACTGTGAAGCTCTCGATGGTGAATGTTGGATCATCTTGGGGTCTTCTTGGGTCGTCTCGGGCCCCTCTGGGCCGTCTTGAGGGTCTCTCGGGACAATCTGGGAGCCCTATTTGGTCGTGAGGTGGCCATCCTCGGCTGTCTGTAAACTTCTTTCGCCACTCTTGGGATCATCCAGGGTGCCTTGCCAACCATATTGGGGCGTATTGGGCTGTCGTAGAGGATCTGATGACGGAGAAGGCGGGTGTGCGGAAATCGTACACACACGCATAACACATGCATGATGTTCGTCTCGTTAGGGCCTTTGTGGGGTTCTCTCTGGGCCTTCTTGGGCCGTCGAAGGAGCATGCTGCCCCGTCCTGCGGCCATCTTGCACCGTCTTTGACCCGTCTTGGTCGCCTTGGGGATGTCTGCGGCACATCTTGGGTTCTCCTTGGGCTCCCAGGGCAATCCAATGTAGATGGAAAGCGTTTGAACAACTATCGCTGTGCAATCAGATGCAAGTATGTATCTCTGAGTTTATATATAAAGCTGAATATAGACGTAAGACCAATCCATATAAACATACATATAGGGTTATGTATGTATGTATGTATGCATGTATGCATGCCTTCATGCATGCATGCATGCATGTATGTATGTAGGTGTATATGTGTGTATGTATGTGCATATATGTCCTGACCGTTATCCGGGAGATTCCATCACAATCCTTGACATCGGGTGCACCCCTCGCGCAATAGGTGCACCCCTCACGTAAATAGCGGCGTCGGGGTCCACAAACACATACGATTTCCAACATGTTCACATAACACAGGGATACACGCGCACACATCATATACACACAACCGCGCACGCACACACACGCGCGTCGAGGCCCTGCGCGCAACGACATGGAGTAAAGGTCGGAAAACCACGAATCAACAACACACACGCACGCACAAACGCAATGGATTGCAGCAATGGGTTTGTACAGACTTGCAAGACGACCATGGTTAAGTTTTATTGCATCCGTTGTCGGTGCATGTCTTCAGCAGGTTGGGATACCTCATGCAAGTGCACGGTGGAATACGGTGATTGGACACACAAATGTTAGCACCACGTGTTCTTGTTGCCGGTTCACGATGCAGTTCGCCAACTTTGTTCTAACCTTGGCTTTCCATGGCAACGGGGGTGTACTTTCAATACGTCATCTACTCGCAAGCTGTAGTAACCCCATTGGTGACCCCCCATGGCGGGCTTCGTATCAGCCTGGGCACGCACATGCCACTTGCACCGATTGATCATCTGATCGTTGCTGTACTAATCCAGGTTTGCGACTGGATTCCTCTTGGAAGTCTCTTGAAGCCGCTTTGATGACGTCTTCCGGGTCTACTGGGCTATCTTGGGACCCTTTTGGGCCGTCTTGGACCTCCTCAGGCCGCCTTCGGGCGTCTCTTGGGGCGGCTTGGGGGGCGGTCTTGGGGCCCTGTTGGGCTGCCTTGAGGCCCTGTTGGACTCTGTGGAGCCACTTCTGGGGCCCTCTTGGGCCGTCTTGGGCACCTCTCGGGGCCTTCTTGGGCGCCTTTTGGAGCGCTCTTGTGAGCCCCTTGGGTCTTCTGGGAGGCTCGGAGAACAGGAAAGGAAATAATGCGAACATCGTGCGACAGCAGAACCCTAGGAAACAAACGCGATGCTTGTTGCCTCTCGGGTGCCTCTTGAGGGTTCTCTCGGGCCTTCCTAGGGCCTTCTTGTAGGGGCCTCCTAGGTGGGGTCGGAGTAGATGGGGTCGGAGGATCGCGCCGCATCGCCGATACATCGGCGATGCATCGGCGATGCATCGGTGATGCATCGGTGATGCATCGGCGATGCACCGGCGATGCACCGGCGATGCACCGGCGACGTCGGCTATGCATCGGCGACGTCGACGTGAAGCAAATCGGGCTGCACATCGAGTCGC